ATGGGAACTGGTTCCCGTTGGGAATTTGGCTGCATGATGGGCGAGGGAGATAGCACTGGCCAGTGCTTTTCTTCCCCACCAAGCTGAGCTCCGTCTTCCGGGGCTCAACAACTCTCCCTCCCATTGTCCTCTAGCCCTCCCACCCTCTGTGCAGAGCCATTGACTTATAACATTCCAGATGTTAATTCCCAATGGCTGTCAGAATTGACTCCATCCGGCCCCTCCGCTTTGCAAGTCAGACTCGGGGGCTCTGCCTTGCCAGGCGGGCTGCCCCTCCACTGCCCTGGCTCCCTCCCACCAGTCCATGTAGCGCGCACCGCCTCTCCGCCCTTCCTACCCTCTTCATTGGGTCTCTTGTCTACGCTTGGCTCTGGAGAGTCCGTTCAGCTAGTCTTCTTGTGGTGTTCTGGGTTATTTAGGCAGATGTGGGTGGAATCTAAGTGATCAGCAGGACTCCGTGAGCCTAGTCCTCCTATGCCACCATCTTTCAACTCTCCATTTTTAAACACAATGAAACACATTTTCACATTTTCTAAATTAAATTGCTAGTAAATGGTGAAACTGGTATTTTTAAAAAATGTGTATTTGACTTTGTCACTTTTTAAGTGTTGGATTCCCAGAAGTGCTAGTACAGATTATTCATTTGTATTATCATCGAAAGGTGATTATGTTGAAATAATTTAAAAAATATTAATATCATTTTATGTATGATTAGCATATTAACTTTCATAATTACCCAGTTTAGGTGATCAATTAATGGATATGTGACCCCAGCCTGTTTTTAATCTAATCATCTATTTCAAATTCTCTTTTCCTTAGCTGTGTGTATGCCTTTTTTTCCAATTGAAGGAAATAAAAGCCATAAATAAGTAGACTTTCTTACCCATTTTTAGCAATGAAATTTTAGTTTTTAAATATAAGTAAAGACATGGGTAAGTAAATAAGCATGTTAAACAGCACCTTTAACACTAAATACTAAATTTAAGTAAAAAGTTCACCGAAAGACCTGAATCTCAGTTTTGTCACCTTTTTTTTATGTTAAGATTCTAGGATCGGATTCAGGGATAATAGTAGTATTATATTTAGAGTTTAGAGAATTGTAATGGAAATTAATGTATAATAAAATATAAATGTCATAAGCACTAAATTTGGTATTTTAGTTTTAATGTAAGTCTTGGGTAAATTTTCACCTCACTGTCCAAAAGTTGACATGTCTGATAACTGTTTTACTTATTAAGTCAAAGTCCTTACACAGACACACACAGACACACAGACACCCACACACACACACACACAGTTGTCATGAAATAGGAATATATGCTGATATATGTGGCCAGACCATAGAGTAATTTTTGATGCATATT